TTTAAGTCATAAAATGCTCATATATTCTACTTCCGCACATAGTTTATTTGCTTTGAGTTTCCGGTTATAACGAAAAAAATATAATTAACAAGAACACTATTTAAACGTTAGTTTAATCCTTGATCAAGTACTGATTGAGCCGCTTTCCATCGCATTACATAGTTAATTTAAAATTCATTAATTTGATTTGTTATGGTTAAAGAATGCATATGAATCCTCTTCTAATTTTATAATCTTTAAATGGAAAGTTGAGGTAGGTGTGTATGAGAGATTGACGTGGGCTTGTTCCCCATATTATGATCATCACTTACGTTTCCTATCCTCTATTAATTATTATGTTCGATTCAGCATTTTATTTTTTTATAAGATTTAATTGGTCTTTCATTTTACTATCAAAACTCCCTTGATAACCCAAACGAACGATACGAACAAATTTGGGTCAAATATGACTTTTTATTTGTCAATAAGGATTTTTCTTTATTGGTATAATAATGTAGATATTAATATAAGTCGTATCATTTCATACACATCTTTGAATAAATAATTGAATGGGAAGACTTATATATCCCTAATCGCCTCCCCGTCTATACTTAGGAGCACTAATCTTTATGGAGATTAATGGAGTGTAAATCTAGATATAGGTTAATTTATTGATTTTGAAAATTTAGAGATTTATAAAATTTAGAGAGTTTAGTTTGTATATCAACAAAATATGTAACCTCGTTTAGGTATAACAACTTCAAAAACATATTGGATGTGCATTGTGTCTTATGATTAGAAATTTAGAAAATCGTTACACATGACATTTCTTCTATATTACAAATTAATGGTAACAACAAAATTTTGAAAAGTCGAGATTTATCATTCGCCAAACCTATATATCACATGTTTTTTCTAAGACTATAAGAACTCACAAACTAATAACAATAGAATCTTAAAATTTGAAATCTGTACAAATCAAACTACCAATATATAACCTCTTTAGTGTTTTAAAAAGCTCATAAATGTAATGTAATTTGTTTATTGTTGTTTTTCGATGATAATAGTCAAGCCTGAAAAGGAAAGATAAGACCAATAATATAATGGATGAGTTTTCTTTTCTACTATAAAACTCAGATAAATTGTATCTGGTCTTGATCTGAATTTGTTATTTTTATAAAGAGAAATAGACTTTATACTTTATTTACAGTCCTTGTGTGAATTGAAATATGAAGCTTCATGGAGCTTGGTGATATAGCTGCCGAACTTGACCTAAAACATATGTCTATTTTTGTGTGATATGGATTTTTATTACCTTTTGTTTTTGTCGTATATGGAATTCTGTGGAATATGCTTGAGAAGTTGGATAAGAAGGAGACAAGTTGGGACCTCATTGTCGGAACTTAGAACCTATCTTTAACATCACTTAGTAATCACATATATGCTATTCATATGACTACTTGTCTTGTACCATG